GTCAGGTCAAATGTCAGGTCACCAGAGGTCATTGAAGGCAAAATTTCGCCGATTTTCTGGTCGAATGTCAATAATTTTCAAGAAGCCAAGTCAACGCATAACTCGGGAACTACTGTTAACGCCAGACCCCTTGAGACCCTAATTTTTCGCGATTATTTTTAAATGCGTGGAGGAATTTCAACCAAGCTCAGGACATGGCCGTTTCAAGGCAGGCCGAAACTTTTACAATTTAGATATTTTATCGCCATTTCAATATTTCAGGCACTTGTCATTGACTCGTAATGTTAACTGTTTTTCCATCCTGGATAGAGGCTTTCTACGTCATATGACATTAGGCTCCGCCCACGACTGCGGCATTGACCCGTGCCCATCAGCGACCTCTGTACAAACGACACTTCTGCCATCTGTGAAGGACTATGAATTTCGCTGACGCTTCACGTGCTATGAGTCAATTGCAGCAGACGGTCAAGTAAATGTTAGGCTCTTGTTGACTCTTGTATATAGGACCAAGAGGACCATCACTCCTCAACCTACTACTCAGTCGTGCTTCGAACAAACGTTAACGATTCCTAACAAATACGATTTTCGATGTAGGGTATCTGTTTGAAATACGAGCGAGCCGTATGATGTGAAGCTCAGGCAATTAACCCGCGCCGTGCTGGGGGGGGCGTTTTTACGCCCCCCCCCCCTCAGGTTTTTCGCGAATATCTCAAAAACGGCGGCGCGCAGCGCCGCCGTTTTTGGTACACGTGTTCCTACATCATTTCCGCACATGTTGTGAAAATTTCAGACCTAGGCCGTTCAAGGTCAGGTCACCAGGTCACGTCAAGTGACCTTACCTCAGAAAAAGTTCAAAGGCTCGCTATAGCTACACCGACTGAACGATCACTTTGAAACTTTCAGCGATTGATATGAGTAACAGTATGTATAAAATGTATATCTCGGATTTTTGATATCTGTGACCTAAGGTCAGGTCAATTTTGCGACCTCTCCATTATAAGTCAATGGGAGAAAATTGAAATGCGCCTCTTTTGGACGAATATCGTTCAAAACGCTCTCAAACATCGGTTCATAGGTAAAAATGACACACTGAATAGGAAAAATGCACCTGTGACCCCTCTGTGTGCCCCTGAGGTCATCTCAGGTCATGAACGGTCGCCAGCAGTTTTTTGGCTATAACTTTTGATAGAGACGTGCTAGAGCGGTGAAAACACGTCAGATGTGTTCAGCTCGACGATACGGATCGACTGATATGCAACATGACCCTTTTCGGTCAGGTCATGACCTTGACCTGAGGTCAAATTTTCAAAATGACCTTTCAAGGTCAACAAATAGTTCATTCGACGCGTCTCGACGAGAGGAACACGATGCTGGCAAAAGTAATGTCATGGCGCTTATGAGTCAAAAGTTATTGACGAAAAAACGTTTTTCGTAAAAACGGCTATTTTTTGAGTTTTTGCCCTCTGGAGGCTAAACCGTTGACCTGAGGTCAAATCTGAGAACATTACTCAGAAAGGTCTGTAAAAGGGCTATCGAATGCGCTTTTCCGCGGCGCTGTAGCTCTATCGGTTCCCGAGATAGTCGTTGGCAGTTTCCAAAATGTTGAAATAGTCAACATTTTACCTTTGGTGACCTCTGGTGACCTGACCTTTGACCTGACCCAAAAAATGACCGAAGTGTTTTCGTCCTTATTTTTGACGCTCTTTCGATTGCCGCTTACCGCGTGTCGCTACGTGGCCCAGGAGCCGAGTTAGACGGGGGGCGTGAAAACGCCCCCCCAGCACTCGGCGGAAAGTTCAGGCCACCAGCACGGCGCGGGTTAACTTATTATTGCGTTGTTCGATGGTTGCATAGCGATGTACAAATCGGCAGCTACTTGGTGACATCCGACATCCCATTATCGCATTATCTGCAACGCCATAGGCTTTAAATACAGGTGAATATTTCCTAACCTTATGTCAGTTATATGCCACCTGCCCGTCATTTGCAGCTTATAAAAAAAGATATATCAGCGAACATATCAGCATTGTAGAAGCAATGCGCATTGAGCATTTATGACTCCTTAGTCATCATGTCGCTCTCTGGGCACTGTCAGCCAAGACGCTACGCACAACTCCGCCGGCTTTCGGCACCGCTCGACCGTCGCCCGTCCCCGCTCCCCGCCACAGCGAGAGTGACCGCGCGCCGGCCCGAAACCGCCGCAGGCCAAGACCACAGAGGCGGGGCTTAGCTGTGACGTCATAACGTATCACAGACTGACTGGTGATAGCCTCTACACACCGGATGAAAATCTTGCTCGAAATTTAACATTACGAGTCAATGACAAGTGCCTGAAATATTGAAATGGCGATAAAATATCTAAATTGTAAAAGTTTCGGCCTGTCTTGAAACGGCCATGTCCTGAGCTTGGTTGAAATTCCTTCACGCATTTAAAAGTAATCGCGAAAAATTAGGGTCTCAAGGGGTCTGGCGCTAACAGTAATAGAGCTACAGCGTCGCGGAAAAACGCATTCGATTGCCCTATTAACGCCCTTTCTGATTAATTATCTCAGATTTGACCTAACCTCAACGGTTTTGCCTGCAGGGGGCAAAAACTGCAAAAATAGCCGATTTTTCTGAAACAGTTTCTAGGCAACAACTTTTGACTCAAGCCTTGCACCAGCTTTCTTTTAACGGCATCGTGTTCCTCTGTCAAGACGTATCGAATGAACTATAATTTGACCTTGAAAGGTCAACTAGAAAATTTGACCTCAGGTCAAGGTCATGACCTGACCGGAAAGGGTCATGTTGCATTATCAGTCGATCCGTATAGTCGAGCTGAACACATCTAAGGCGTTTTCATCGCTCTAGCATGCCTGTATCAAAGGTTATTCGCGAAAAACTGTTAGATACCATTCGTGACCCGAGATGACCTCAGGGGCATAAAAAGGGACGCCGGTGGAAAAAGGGCGCCAGAGGGCATATTGGGTCACGTGACATTCGGAACTTCTCCCCCTCTTTGGGCCTTCTACATGCTAAATGTCACGTGTGAATTTCACGAGCCTTGATCAAATCGCCCCAGGCGCGCAGTTTTCACCGTCGTCCATAAAAAGGGGTCACAGACACCATTTTCATGTTCAGTGTGTCTTAGTTACTTGTAATGCAGTGTTTGGGAATGTTTCTAATGGCTTTCGTTCAAAAAAAGGCGCTTTTCAGTTTTCTCCCATTGACTTATAATGGGGAGGTCGCAAAATTGACCCGACCTTAGGTCATCGATATCAAAATTCTGAGATATGCATTTTGTAATAACTACTATTGCTCTTAGCAATCACTGAAAGTTTCAAAGCGATCGGTCACTCGTTGTAGCTACGGCAGACATTGAAACTTTTTATGAGGTGAGGTCACTTCAGGTGACCTGGTGACCTGACCTTGAATGACCTCGGTCTGAAATTTTCACAACATGGGTAGAATTGATGTATTATAAGGTGTGCCAAAAATCACAGGGGGGTGTTCAAACACCCCCGCAGGACGCGGGTTAAATTTGAATTTCAACGATCTCCTCTCGTTACGAGCAACAGGCTCACTTCTCCGCAAAGGTCTAGCTCGATCAGGGGCTGAGTGATACGTTAGACGTTGTCAAAGGCCAATAACGGGGGAGTGTTCCATCCTGACATCCCGGATGGCTGATCTCAACCGTCATTATAAACCAAAGAAATGAATTTCAAGTGAGGGTGTTGTATATGCATTTACATATACCTAAGACGGATTTGCCGGATTTGCCATGGATTTGCCATGCACATAAAATAAGTAAAATCAGTTTTCTTCGCAGGGAAGGGCAAGAACGTCTGCAATTGCATCCTTGAAATAAGGCAACCTCTGTTTCTTGTCTTGATATGGTGAGCTGTTTTGAAGATATTGCTTAACCCTCGCCGGCACAGGGGGCGACCCCCTGTTGATGCAACCCCCCCTAAGGTTTTTCGCGAATAACTCGCGTAAAAAGCGGCCAATCGCGACGAAACTTTCAGTACCCTCGCATTGATCAATTTTACACCTACCCTGAAAATTTCATGACCCTGACCCCAATGACCTTTGACCTGTGACCTCTTTTCTGTGACCATGTTTGGCCGAAATCGCGGTTCGGTGCATGTCCGCCCGCATTAGCCGCGCGTTGGCAAGCTTTTCGTGGTTTCAAACGTTCAAACATGTGATTTGATGTTGCTCCCATGCATTAGGGTGGGTGTCAAGGTCACCTGAAGGTCAGGTCAGGTCATTTACCTTTGGTGACCTCGGGTGACCTCGGTTCACTTTTTCGAGTTTGACATGTTTTAGGCTAGTTTTTGGAGCTGAATTCGAATTTAGCAACCATTTGAACATTTACGAAGTAGTTTTGGTGCCTTCGTAACATGTTACGAAGCTGTCCGAGGCGGTTGACACGTATTACGAATACCCGTCACAACCCCTACCGGTTGACCTGACCCGATCTGGTCTAAATGCTTAAAGACACCATCTATAATCAAAACTAACACGATATTCGTGATCAGCACCCCGGAAAACCACATAGCAGCCACACTTTACGACTTTCTAACAGGTCCCGATTTTCCCGGTTTTCGGGTCATTGACCTGACCTGGAAGGTCACCCGATGACCTAGGACCTTAAAATTGGGTATCATCGACCTCCTCTCGTGACGGGCAACACGCTCATTTTTTTCCGCGAATCTAGCTCGATCAGGGGCCAAACGCGAGGGGGGGGGGTCGTACCAACACCGTCGAAGGACTCAAAATGGGCTGTGCCGGCGAGGGTTAAAAAAACTGGGGATGACTCCTTAAAGCCCCCCCCCCCCCAATCAAGCGCGGGCTACCTAACTATCTACATATATTGGTATTGTGCAAGGTTGTTGAGTGTTGGGTCACTCCCAAACAGCATGGGAAGCAGGGTTTTTCACCTATCTGCATTGGTAGGTACTTGACTGAATGCTTTATTTGTTTTTGGTATTTTTATTGACCGATGGTTCCTCTTTCAGATTGGAGACTTCTCGTACCCAAGAGATCGACTCGCGACGTTTCTGTTTTATGTGAGTTTTGAATATCGTTGACTCCAGGAAGGGATCACGTAAGGGAACGTAAGGAAAAATTACGCTTCGCTATAGATACCTACAACCTAACCCAACCTAACCTATGTAACCTGTTCAGCCAAACATGACTTTAGGCCTAACCCATCCAAACCTTACCATAGGTAACCCATACTTTTGTCCATGCGTACCGGTACTTTATACTTTACGAATTACGTACATGAACGATACGTAAGTTTGTCCTGTGCTCTTTTTGTGACGTACATTAGCCATAGCCATACGCAAGGCTAGTCAATTAGTCATACGCAGTGGCGTATCCAGGATCTTGAAAAGGGGGAGGCCAAACCTGCTTAAGGGGCCCCACCCTTACCTTAGGGGCCCCAGTAGTGGCGTACTTAGCCCACGCCCAGGTGCGGTTCTTTGCCACTTTCACCATGTGAGGGAGCCTTTTTAGGCACGCTCGGCAATCTAAAAAAGAAAAGAAAAATGTGAAAAAGCCATCGATATCGATAGCTCTGTATGTAGTGTACCTACAATTTAATTCAGCAGTAGGCATACAGTTTTTTTTTTTTTGCTTTGGTCGCCGCCGGGGCCACTAAAGATTATCAAGAGCAGAATGTTTTGTCAATTTTTTGTCCGATTGTAACATTTTTCAAATGGCAGATGTCAATCTCTTTGTGTCTTGCGGTGGTTGAGGGCTGATACCCTTAACTTTAGAAGGGCCCGACCCGGGTTGAGCTCTGATCTAGACTCTGATGGCTCTATGTCGCCCACATTGGCCTCACTCCGACCTCTGAAGGCTCATTCTGGCCTCTGAAAGCCCCACACCGGCCACAGAGTGAACCACGCTGGCCTCCGGGCCCCATAATAGCCTTAGGAGACCCGTGGCTGACCTCATAGGCCCCCGCTGGCTCTTGGGAGTCTTTGAGTCAGTCTGACGACCCTATGCCGCTCTCGAACCCACGCCGGTCTCTAGAAGCCCATGAATAGTTGCAAAATTTCCCTACCGCACTACCGGCATGCCGGTAATTTTTCACTACCGCAGGTTTTTGCGTGGTATTTGGCATATCCTGCCGGTAGCATGCCGGTATTTTTTTATTTTGCACAAAAAAAAATTATCAGCATATGATTCAAACTTTGGACACTAAGAGGCTATTGAATTGTAATAACAGCAATCTTAGCCACTGCAAAATACATTTTGTGGTAGAAGTCCCATAATTCCATGATGCCCCCTAAGGGTCCCACGCCGGCCTTTAAGGGCCACTCCTACCTCAGGGGGCCCAAATATGCATAAGATCTGAAAAGTGGCTGCCGAGGCCCTCGAGGTGGCCTCTAATGGCCCGACGCCAGCCTATGAAGGCCCGCGCTGGCTTCTGAGGGCCCAGCACCAACCTCTGAAGTCTGCAGTCAGATGACATATGGCCCCACGCTGGCCTCAGAGGGTTCACGCTGGTCACAGAGTGCCCCACACTGGCCTAAAAGGGCTCCACATTGTCTTCAGAGGGCCCCAAGCTAGTCTCGGTGGCCAATGGGCCTCAATCTGACCTAAGAAGGCCCCATGTCGCTGGGCTTAAAGACGCTGGACATAGACGGCCCCATGCTGGACATAGAGGGTCCCACACTAGCCTTACAAGGCCCAACACTGGCCTTAGAAGGCCCCACACTGGCCTTAGAAGACCCCACAATGGCCTTAGAGGGCCCCATTCTGGCCTTAGAGGGCTGAGCGCTGGCTCCTTAGGACTCTAAACCAGCTTCAAAGGATCCCACGCTCGAGTCTAAGCTTCTTTATGGCCGCCAAAGCGACCTCTGAGGGCCCACGCTAGCCTCTGGGGGCCATGAGGGCCATCAAATGGCATTTTAAGATAGTTTGACGCAGTTCGACTTTATTTATGCTTGGGCCAGTACTTTGGATGAGGCCCTGAAGGTCGTTTCTCTTGGGACACTCAAGCAGGCACGTTCCCAGGATTTCGCCCAGGAGTGGGCCGCCTGCTCTCAAAGGGGCCCAATGGTCACCCGGATGCCGCTGTCAACCCAGGCAAGGGCGTATCCAGAACCTTTCGATGAGGGGATTGGGCACAGTGGGTCCGGTCCCCCCTTGCAGACGGGCCCCTCTGTCTGTCTGTCTGTCTGTCTGTCTGTCTGTCTGTCTGTCTGTCTGTCTGTCTGTCTGTCTAAGCACTGAGAAAATGTGCAAAATTGGCAGGTAAAAATATCATTTTTTGCTTGAGAAGTATGTATAAAATGCACGGTATTTTATGAGGAAGTGAAGCGAGCGAGTGCCTCAGAGTCACCTGTGTTAGTCTCTCAGAGGTGTCGGTGAAAGGCCGTCAGATGCGCTGGTGTGGGGTCCTCACAGGCGCCGTTGTGAGGGCCTTGGGGCTTAGAGACACTGGTGGGGGCCATCACTTAGGCGTGTGTGGGGCCCTGAAAGTCACTGGTGGCCCTTCACAGGCCGGCAAGGGACCCCCAGAGGTCGGTAAGAGGCCCTCAGAGTCGCTGGTAAGTGACCGTCAGATCCGCTGCATAGAGCCCTCGGAGGCGCCGGTGTGGGGCTCTCAGAACCGCCGAAGTAGGCCCTTAAGAGGCACTGGTGTGGGGCCCTTAGAGGTGGCAGTGGAGGCCCTCGCAGGCGCCGTTGTGAGGGCCCTCAGAAACACCGGTGTGGGCCGTGGGGCCATAGCAAACGGGTATGGGGCCCTTACAGCTGATCCCTTATTGGCCGGCAAGAGCCCTCAGGGCCGGCAAGGTCCCTCAGAACCTGGCGTGAGGCCCTTCTGGAGATAAGTGTGGCTACACAAGAGCCCATGGGGTGTTCTCACAAGTCCTGTGGTCTCCTTTCCAGTTGAAGCGTTGCCAGCGCGAGCCCTCTGCCGCCACTTGGCACCGCAGGGCCTCTCGGGCCCGAGGGGACCCTAAACCCTATAACGGACACGTGCCCCCTCGCCCCTGGCCATACCATTGAATCCGAGTGGTCATGGGCCGTTCAGGTAATCAGGCGTCTCTCAGGTGACCAGGGATCTTTCAATTGACCAGGAGTCCACCAGGTGACCAGGGGACCCTCTGATAACCAGGGGACGGTTATACCAGGGGCTCCACGGGTAACTAAGGGCATTTATGTGACTGCAGGGGCCCTTCATATAACCAGGTACTCCCCGGGTAAACATGGGCCCTTCAGGTGACCAGGGTTTCTTCAGATCACTGGCCATGGGTCACCCAGGGGATCAGGGGCCCCTTAGATAACTAGGGGCCCCTCAGGTAACCAGGGACCCCTCAGATAACCAGGGGCCTCTCAGGTAATCAGGGGCTCTCAGGCAATCACGGGCCCCTTAAGTAATCAGGGGCCCCTCAGGAAACCAGGGGCCCCTCAGGTAACCATGGGCCCCTCAGATAACCAAGGCCCCTCAGGTAACCAGGGCCCCCGTAGCCAGGGGACCTTCAGGTAACCAGGAGTCCTTCAGATAACCCGGGACCAATCAGGTAACCAGGGCCCCCTCAGATAACCAGGGGACCCTCAGGTAACCAGGGCGCCCCTCAGGGCCCCCATGGATCCCTTGGGAACTTCACTGCACTCAAGTGACCCAAAGGGCCCACTTGCATGTTTGATGCCAAAGGGGGAGGCCATGGCCTCTTGGCCTCCCCCCTGGATACGCCACTGGTCATACGTATGTACTTTTGCGACGCGAACCTTTGTCCGCAACCCGATCTCGGTGACACGCCCTCCTCGGCCGGCAGCTGAACTCGGTCGGTGCAGGTGGCGCTACCGTATTCCCGCTGCTCGGCGTGGCGGCGCCACCGGTGCCCGGCTCCGCCCTGTTCTGGTTCAACCTGCGCCGCAGCGGCCTGGCAGACTCTCGCACTGTGCACGCCTCCTGCCCGGTTCTGCTCGGCGCCAAGTCCAGTGAGTGTCGGGATATGCTGGATTTGTCATAGCTGCTATGTAATAACTGTTGGCTATGTAATAACATAGCTGCCATGCCATGCTTTCACTGGGCTGGTGCTCCCTCCCTTGACTTCGTGCCCCACCGTGCCTCTGCTCCTGCTACGTAACCCCTGGCACTGCCCCAAAGCCATTGGGATCCGGGATGGGCTCGATGGCTATGTCGCAGAAGTCAGTCGTCGGTTCAGCCCAAGATCTCGCCCCATGCTCTTCTCTTATCCCGCGCCCCGTTGGGCTCTGCCGAGCAACGCGCCCCGTTGGGGGGGGGGGGCATTTTGCCCCCCCCCCCCCCTAAGATCTCGAGAACCACGCAACGTAGCGACAAGCGGCAAACGGTGTTGGATAGCCCTATCAGGGAACTACCTTGTGACCCAATTTTATTGACCTAGGTCAAACCGATGACGTCACAGGTCAGGTCAAAGGTCCAATTTTCACCGTTTACAGGCATTTCAAGAAATGCGTTGTAAAATCGAGTAAAATGCATTTCATTGAAAATCATCGATGGGGAAATGTTCTTCAAACACATATTTTGCTAGTTGAGGTCACTGATACCAGGTCAGGTCACTGAGGTCAGGTCACTGGGGGGTCACAATATGAAAGTGTCGTGTGATACATGTTTTATGGTCCATTTTACATGACAAATGCGATTATGTGGGTCAGGCAGCCTTTGGGGCCAGCTTAGGTCACGTTTTGGTCAAGGTCAGGTCAAGGTCAGGTCAAGGTCAGGTCAAATAAGGTCAAATTTCAAAGTTGATATTTTTGCATAAAATGGGTATCGAATCGATGCAGCTCGTCACGGGGAGTTCAATGGTGGTCTTTGTTTTGCCGTACGAGGTCTAGAATCGCTAAAAATTGAGTTCAAAAATTTGACGTCATCATTTTTGAACAGTTTTTTCGCTATAACTTGGCCAAAAAACGAGATATCGATCTGAAATTTGGTATGTATATAGAAGAGCACAGGGACTATCACATATATTCCGGTTTTTTCGAAATTCGGAAAATTTTTGGATTTTTTTTAGTATTTCTAAAAAATTCAATTTTTTGAAATTTTTTGGGTCAAAAACCAAAAATTTTGAAAATCTGAGATAGCAGTTTTGTAGCGCCGCTTTTTGTCTATTAGACCATATAAAGAACTTTGAAATTGCTTGATAACTGTAGATTTGGTGAGCGTTTCAAGATTGCATGTTTTTTGCTCATTTTTGCTCGAACATGACCTCAGTTTGACCTCAATAACTCCTGACCTAAGGTGACCTAAGACTTGAAATTTGGTGTGAAGGTGTCAAATTGATGCCCGGAAAGGTACTGAAAATTTGGTGGCGCTGCGCGCCGCCGTTTTCTTGCTATTCAGGAAAAACCACAGGGGGGGGCCAAAATGGCCCCCCCCAACGGGGCGAGGGTTATGACATTTGAATGATATAATTGGACCGAAACGATCCATCCAAAGAAGACAAGCATACCTACATAAAGATTTGCTGCCAAAGTCACTAAGATATCGGTAACTGTATAAGAGTCGACGGCTGTCTTTAACACCTCAGCCTTCCGCTGATCCTGCGGTATCCAATCCCAATGTTCTGCCAGCTTCCTCAGGACGCCGCTCACACAAGAGTCAATAAAGACACCTCAAGTGTTGAATACTGCACCGCACGACAGCGGAGCTATGCGGTGCAGTATCCTGTCGAATAGAATGCAACAGTGTGACACAATCTTCCATCTTATTTCAATTGTCTCATTCAATCCTAGCGTCCAGTTACAGATAATGAATCCCTAGTTATAGGTAAATATCAGGGATGCGGAGCCGTGGAAATTTCAGACGGCTCCGGCTCCGGCTCCGGCTCCGGAGAAAAAAATCGGCTCCGGCTCCGGCTCCGGCTCCGGGTGAAATGTTATGGCGGCTCCGGCTCCGGCTCCGGCTCCGAGTAAAATGGTCCGGCTCCGGCGGCTCCGGCTCCGGCGGCTCCGGCTCCGGCGGCTCCGGCTCCGACTCAGTACATCTCCTATGCAATCAATTAAATACGGGTGGAAGAAAAATTGGATTGGTACACGTAGCTTCTGTATTTGCATAACAACTAACATCTAAGGCTATTTTTCTCAACAGCACATGCAATCAGCGAACAGGGTATATAAGCACGTGGCGAAATATTATGACTATACGGCCGCGTTACTCTTTGCCATGACCGGCTCACCGCGTCCCCGCGCAAACGCACCTCGGAGAGAACTGGCAGAACAAAAGACTAGAAAGCATTGGAAAGGACATTGGAAACGCAGTCGCCGCGAATCGGAGTTCACTGAACCATCGTAAGCTGACACCCGTCTCGGCTGCATTGGGGGGTGGGGGTGTGGGGGGGGGGGGGTAGGGTGGGGTGGGAAGAGACGGTGTTGGGAGTCGCAGTCCACTGCACTGGCTTCAAAACAATGGCCGTCACCTGATGACCGGTCCTCATGTTCTGGGGATGCAGTAGACGTGGGGGGGGGGGGGGGAGAGGAGCAGACAGGAAGTTGATTGCGTACTGTGGGATGCTGGGGATATTCGGCTTTTTTCATTCACTTGATGGCCCATGACGTACTTACCATATGTTTTACTGCTTTATACTGTCAAACCGAACTACATAGGTCAATTATTTTTTTCCTCTTCAAAAAATAAAAAGAGCCGGAGTCGCCCCCTTTTTTGGCGGCTCCGGCTCCGGCTCCGGCTCCGGGCTATATTGTTTCACGGCTCCGGCTCCGGCTCCGGCTCCGGGCAAAATATGCCGGCTCCGGCGGCTCCGGCTCCGACTCCGGCTCCGGCTCCGCATCCCTGGTAAATATAATGTTTTTAATTACAATGGATTCCTGGTGTTGCAACTACCGTAGTGATAATTTTCTGACGCATTATTCCACTCCGCCGACCGATATGTTGAAACAGTTTCCGACATGCCAATGACCCATCGCGTCCCGTCTGTCTGCAGTTGCTAATTTCTGGCTGCACGAGTCGGGCCAGGAGTTTCGACATCGGTGTGGCACCAGTGAAGACGAGTGACGAGTGACGAGTGACGAATGACGGATGGCTGATGACGGGATGACGGAGCGGCGAAGAACGTCTGACGATAAACAGATTGCAATGCTGACAGATGAATGAATGGCGAATGACTGGAGGGCGGAAATGAATGAATGACCAACGGTTCATGCTGCTAAACTGGTGTATTTTGTCGTATTCACACCACAAGTTGTGCATCCCTGGAACAAAAATTAGCGTTATGGATAGGCATTGGTCATTGTTTGTTTTTATGGGCATGTATTGCAGTTTACTTCATGTCATAGCGGTGAATGACAAAGCTCGCATTGAAAACGTATGTTAAACACTTATTTTATCTTGGTCAGTTGATTTAATGTTTATTTTGTTATAATTATTTGGTGTTGGTGTTATCTATTCCCACTTGTAATGACGTTCATACACTCATAGAGAACACGAACCAATTATATACAGCTGCCATCCAGCATGACGCAACGCACAATTACATTCCACTTAGGTATAGGTACATATGTTATAACACAGGAGTAGGCCTACTTCACTGACCCTGTATTATTATAGTCAAGTGTTTGTGCAGGCTATGTGATGTCATTTTATTACAATGTGCTCATTATACAGTTGCCCCCTCCTTACAGATCTGTCGTAACGTTCTCGTCGCCCCTTTGCTGTTCAACTTTTCACCTCCAAATATAAGCTTTTGTATGACATTTGCAGTATCTATGCTCATTGTGCAATATATTTCTATTTGATTTTTAATTGGATTTAATTCTATTGTTTATGTAGCCGCCACGGCCTCAGCCGTGGGCCAAACCGAGCGCCCTCGTAGTCACACACGCTGTGCCGTCAACTGGACCTCTATTCGTCTGCATCAGCTCTCGAGGCAGTCCGAAACTGTCCGTTACTGCCCGGACACAAACACACAGACAATGCACCGGTCAGTACACAATCACGTCCACAACCGACATGTCCGAACAAAACGACATATTGTGAGCCGTGCATTGAACATAACATGAAATGAATATTGCTGCAATTCTAGAACCAGTGTTAATATTAGCGCTATCATTTACTCGATTAATTAACACTTAACAATTCGGGCAATTTCGTACATTAATTCAGACACAACGTTTAACATACCGGCTGTTCACGTCTCCGGCGCTCAACAAGTCGATCTCGTCACGAAGATCGCTCCGTCCACACGGTCCGTCACGGGGGAACCCACAGCCACAGCTCGGCCGCCAAACATCCCCGGACTCACGAGCAGCCCGACTTCGCGGTGCTCTCTCTGCCTAGCGAAAGTAAACACGTACATAAATCAAACTCGAACAAACAGCTATATTACGTTAATGAATCGACCAGCATGTTTATAGCAATATCAAGAAGAACAAAGTATAATTCAAATACAGAATCCACTTACAGTTCGCGCAGCTCCAGCTCACACGTCCGCCCCTCAGCACACTGGGCACAAAACAACGCCCTCTACTCGGCCCGCACAAGGGTCACGCTCGGTCACGTGACCGCGGCCAGCTGCCACATCGGCACTCGCCCGACTCAGCTAGAGGTGCAAGTCCGACTCAGCTAGAGCTGCTGACGTGTGGCATCAAAGGAAGGGTGAGGGATTCAATGCGGACCGCGGGCGCCATTAACACTCCCCCCTTCGGACGACCGGAGCAAGGGCGGCCGAACTAACAGAACACGGCGCCCGATCAAAGTCAAATCACCATCAGTGGTTTACGGACTTAACGAGCTAACAGCTGCATCAGTTCAAACAACATCCTGACGGCTTTACTTATCTAACAACTAGCAAACAATTAACCCAAACAATTATCCCGTTGGGACACTGCACTTACCCACTAAAACTTAACTACACGAATTCTACATAAGTCACTCACCTGATGTTTGCCTACATATCGTACACTACAGCTGCAGATCCGTTCAAACCAATACCCACAATGGGACGCGGACACTGCACGTCTACTGCAGATCAGACTCCGTGCTGATCAGGACCATCTTATGGATTGGCCTCAGGTATTCCGACGTAGACGTTTTAACCAGAGCCTTTCGAACCAGCCCGTCCCGGCTGGGAAAAACCTTAACTATCTTCCCCATCCGCCACTTACCTCTAGGTACATCTTGATCTACTAACAAAACAATATCACCCGGTCCCAGGTTCGTGGCAGTACGCGTCCACTTCTGTCGCGTCTGCAGTGATAACAAATACTCCCGCTTCCAGCGGTGCCAGAACTCCTGAGCCAAATGCTGTACATGACGCCATCGGCGCCGCGGCAGTGAGTCGGCCTCAGAAAACTCACCAGGAATGGGTCCGACGCAACCCCTCAGGAATAACAGGTGACCCGGCGTCAGGGGTTCCACCTGACCCGAGGCCGTCGACACGTATGTCAACGGGCGACTGTTCATGATCGACTCGATTTCACAGAACAAGGTACTGAGCGTTTCGTCATCTACACGCTGAGTAGGCATAGATCGCCAGATTTTACGAAACGTCCGGATCTGTCTTTCGACACCACCAGCGTAGTGAGAAGCAGTTGGAGGGTTGAAACTCCAATCGATACCCTGCTTCAGCGCCGCGCGCTGCAGATCACTCTGGCGAACCTCTCTCAGCGCCTCACGGAGTTCGCGATCGGCGCCAGTTAAGTTCGTTCCCATGTCACTTCGGATTTGGGTGATCTGGCCTCTTCGAGCACTAATGCGTCGAATGGCATTGATAAGTGAATCAGCACTCAATGAACTCAGAATTTCAACATGAACAGCTCGTGTCATCGTACAGACACACATCAGTCCATACCGCTTTCGCTCAATCCGCCCAGTCTTGACCAACACTGGTCCGAATACATCCAGCATAACCGACGAGAACGCCGGCGCGTCTGCCGAGACGCGCTCCCGAGGCAGCTCAGCCATCAGTTGATGCTGGGGACGGGCATTTACCCGTCTACACACCACACAAGATCGGATCAACCTCCGGACCTCTGTTCCCGCTCCAATGACCCAAAACTTACGTCTCAGGTCCCAAAAAGTGTGGTCTCTCCCCCCGTGACCAACTCTCTGGTGAGCCTCTCTGATCACCAATCGTGTCACGTGACTATCCCGGGGGAGAATCACCGGGTGTTTCTCACTCTCAGCGACACAATCAGATCGAGACAGCCTACCACCAACCACCAGCAGACCACTCTGCATGGTCGGCCGTAACTTTCTCAGAGGACTACTCGAACTCACTTCAGTTGGACCATCGTCACAGTCTCTACCAGGAAATTCGGGGAGTTCCCGCTGGACGTGCCGCAAGATCGCACGCTCTGCCTCATGCAGGTCGGACACAACCAGAGAGGCCTCGCTAACGTGGTCACGCCGCCGAAGCCCCCTTCGGCGGGTCATGCACCACCTGCGAAATGAACCATTCCGGATGACACAGAAGAACCTCCGATACCATGCCACCGCCCGTTTGAGTCTGTCAAAGGACGAAAAATGACTGATAAGAGCGTCCGTTGGACCCTTCTGTCCGGTGCCGGCAGACACCAGAGCCACTGTCACTGGAGCGGACTTCACCTCAATCGGAGGGATCTCAGCGTGAACAGCTGGGTCTGAGGGCCAGCCACCAGCCTCACCATCCAAAAACTCAGGTCCCCTCAGCCACGGTCCCAGGCCTGAAGGATAACAGCCACGAGAACCTACATCGGCAGGGTTCAACTTGGATGGCACGTGCGCCCACTCGGCCACCTCTGAACCATCATGTATGTAGGCGAGCCGGTTCGCCACATACGTCTTGAACCGTGTGGTTCGGTTCCGGATGAAGCTCAGGACCACCGTGCTGTCGGTCCACATGTGAAATGAATCAAATGTGGCATCCAACTCTCTCACCAGCAGTCTCCTCACCTTAACTGCCAGCACCGCTGCAGCCAGCTCTAGTCGTGGCACCGACACGAAACGAACGGGATTTACTAGTGCCTTTCCCATCAAAAAAGTCACAAAACGTTCGACCTGTCCCTCAGGGGTAAGAATCTCTCTTCTCAGGTAACCCACGGCGGAGTATGCCGTCTCGCTCGCATCAGCGAAGACATGCAGCTGACTGTTCAACACCTTCCCGGGAGGGCCGACGGTGCACCTCCTCAGCTGAACATTGTCAAGCTCGCTGGCTCGGTCCAGCCATTCTTGCCAGTCCTCCGCCAGCGGACTAGGGAGCGGATCATCCCAGCCACAGGAGAGCAGGCACAGTTTCTGTAGCAGCACTCGGCCCAACAGAGTCACCGGAGAGACAATTCCCAGCGGGTCAAACACCGAGCTGACTGTCGACAGCAGACCGCGCCTTGTCGCAGGTTTCTGCTTGTTGCAGAATTGAAAGCAGAACGAGCCGTCTACGATAGACCACTTCAGGCCTAACGCACGCTCGGCACCCAGAGTGTCCCTGTCCAGGTCTAAAGTCCTCACATTTTTTGCCCTGTCACCGACAGGGATCTCCTTAAGAAACTCAGAACTGTTGCTTGAGAACTTTGTCAAGTTGAACGCTCCGTTTTTGCACAAGTCTTTCAGGTCACGCGCTAGCTGAACTGCGCTTTCGACAGAATTTGTGGAACAAAGGGTATCATCGACATATGTTTTCCGAAGCAGAGCGTCGGCGGCCTCAGGATGCCGCAGCCGACCCTCCTCAGCGCAGCAGGTCAGTGCCAGGCTGGCCACACTGCTGTTGGACAGGGCTCCGAAAACATGAGACCTCATTTTCCACACGACTACCTCACCGTCAGGATTGTCGTCTTTAAACCACAGAAACCTCAGTAGGTCAGAGTCACAGATGGGCACATGGACTCTATGGAACATTGACTGGATGTCGCATGTGAATGCGACCGTTCCTTCACGGAAACGACAAAGTACTCCCAAGAGGGAGTTTGACAGCACCGGTCCCTTCTTCAACAGGTCATTCAATCAGACCCCACGACTCTTGGCCGCGCAGTCAAACACCACACGCAGTTTACCTTTTTCCGGTTCAAAGACGCCGTGATGAGGGAGATACCAGATCGGATGACCCCCATTATCTCCCTCTGGCACCGGAACTGCGTATCCATCATCCGCCAGTGAGGAAATGACACGTCTGTACGCGTCAAAGTACTCTGGGTCTGCATTGAAACGCTTCCTCAGCGAGTCCAAACGCTTTGACGCCACCGGCATGCTGTCAGGCAGCGCACCGAAATCCCTCTTAGGGAGAGGAACCTCAAAAAATCCATGATCATCTCTCCTCACTCGGGGCAGAACATCAGCGAGCCACTCGTGATCTTCCACAGAGAAGCACTCACGATCGTCCGACAAATCCTTGAAGTCATTATCATACATCTTCCTGTACAAACTATCCTCAGCGTCATGGTCAGAAACAGACATCTCCTGCACCCTCAGAAAGTTCACCGTGAACCTCTCTCCCGAACCGGTGGCTTCCCGGACCGGTCCCATCACATACCAGCCCAGTACAGTTCGCACAGCACACAGACCAGTCTCGCCCTGGGGAGGAGAACGAACCTCTCTCGCCACAATCAGTTCGGGACAGTTAGAACCGATCAGAACTTCCACCGGTACATCCAGCTCGTGAAGCTCTACACCGTCCAGGTGGGACGCAGCCTTTAGCTCACTTCCCTGACATCGGTCGGCCTGGGTGACCGGAAGCGCGTCAATAGTCAATAGTGGCGGTAGAGGGTGGAACTCACCGCCGTTTAGAGCGCTTACTTCTAACCCTGGAGCTATCGAAGTGGACATGCTCCTCCTATCGTTACCCACGGTCTCGATAGAGATGGTCGTGCGCTCAGTTTGCACTCCCAAACGCTCTGCGAGTCGCTCAGTCAGGAAGCTTCCCGACGACCCTTGATAAAAAAACCCATTCGTCACGATCACTTTGCCTGTTGGAGCACGAAGCCGCACCACAACTACAGGGAGGGCCGTGCGACCTGCACCCTGCAGTCCAAGGCTTGCACTTACAACAGCGCCTGCGGATCCACCGCGCGATGCAGACTCCGCCGTCGCGGCGGACACCGCCGCACCAGCAGGCGGCGCCACCGGCGCACTCATGGGCGGACCCGCGCCGCCGCGGTGCGGAACCACCGCTGTCCCGACTCCGCCGGGCGGAATCATGTCATTTGGCTGCATGCTCTGAGACGTACTACCGCGAGGACTCGGCCGCCGATGCCACTGACCCGGCCGAGAGCCTGAAACCCAAGGTGGTGCCGGTCCCCCGCCCGGTTCACCATGCATGACAGAGGGATGGAGCCCGCCACAGACGCCGCAGACCAGCGGCCGCCGGCAGGACCGAACCTGGTGCCCTGCTTTTAGGCACCCAAAACAAAGCTTATGCTGCATAAAGACCTTTCGCCGCTCGACCCACGGCCTCATCCTCAGCACCTCACAGTCCGCCACACTGTGGGGACCGCCACAGTAGACGCAGCGCTGAGTTCCCGGCTGAGTCCCCGGCGCTGTCACGTGCGCCGCATTGACCGTGTGCCTCCGAGGTCCACCAGGAGCCTCCGGCCGGCGGTCAGCATTGGCAGAACGAAGGCCAAAAAGCGGATTCTTCTTGACCCGAACCTCAGCGGCCAAAAACTTAACTAAATCGGAAAACCTGACAGCGCGCCCCTCCTGGCATAGGCGGTCTACTTCTCTAAGCCACCGATCCTGCAGGTGAGGAGGAACTTTAGAAACTATCAGGCGGAGAGTAGATGGATGTTCGAATTCACTCAAAGCTACGCCAGAGACGGCGTTCTTTACCTCCGTCAGAAACAGAACAAACTTGTCCAGTGATTCCACATCTCCGGGTATGATCCGAGACCACCCCTTTACCTTCTCAACGTATGAGTCAACTAAACATGTTGTGTTACCGTACCGCGACTCGAGTAACTGCTTTGCCTCAACGAATCCAGCAGCACCCAGGTGAAGACAGCTCCTCACCAGCTGGTTCGGTTTCCCGCTAGTGAACTGTTCCAAATAAAACAAAAGTTCCTCCTGATCATCAGTCTTACTGGCAACACGAGCCTCGAAGGCGCTCATAAATAAACGAAAATCTTCCACGTTACCAGTGAATGGACGTAGCTCCGTGGGAGGGAGCAAAGCACGCCTCACCTGCGAGGACAGTGCACTCGCGGACTCTGACTGCGGAGCCTGACTAGCTGTAGAAACCCTCAGGGGCTCAAGGGCAGCGTCGTCATAGTGACCCACTTCAGCAAGTTGCAACTCTATCTGTAACTGCTCCGATCGAGCCTGAAGCCTCGAATCATCCTGCTCTGCCTTTGCCCTAACTGAAATCCTCTCCTGCTCAACCAGCTGTCTCTCCTGGATAATTCTTAAACGAGCTAAGAGTAGGGAAGCATCAGGAACCGCAGATCCCGACTCGGGTGCCACAAGGGGCATTTGATGACTTTCCTTCTGCGTTGGAGGGGGCGTCTCTGATTCTATCAGTGCCTCAAACAGCCTATCCACTAACTCGTTCTTCTTACCTGTGATATCAAGTCCCCTAGACTCTAGCTCTCTCTGTAACTCGGTCAGTTTTAACCTGTTCAAATCTTCCCTGGTAGGTGCCATTGTGAATGCAGAGGACAAAAAGATGAGAATTACGAACAAGGATCCAGGATTAAGCCACATCAGCTATTTTAAACACCTACTCCGCATAACACAACCTGTGCAATCACAAATAAATAAACACACACCTTAAACACTAATAGTACCAGTATAGCGCCTTTTGGGGCGACTAACGGAGCGAGCGAGAGGGTGAGCCTTGCACGTGCGAAATTTCGAGGGGGTACCTCCAGCTGACTTGTGCACGGCACCCTACTAACCGGTCTCTAGCGATGTGCCAAATTTGAGCACAATCGGCCCAGCCGTTCTCGAGATCTGGAAGCGGCACCCTGCACGTGCGCACGTGCAAAATGGGTCCCAACTGACTTTTGCACGGCAGCCTACTAACCGGTCCCTAACCATGTACCAAATTTGAGCGCCATCGGTCCAGCCGTTCTCGAGATCTGGAAACGACCCCTGCACGTGCGCACGTGCAGCAGCACCCCAACTCTGGCACATGGATATGCAGTGCCTAGTGGGTGCCTACCTACATGCCAACTTTCAGCGCAATCGGCCAAGTAGTTACCGAGATATTGCAACAATTACAAAAGTGACACCTCTTCGTTTTGCACGTGGCACACTGGCACGTGCATAAGGGGTCACCCACATGCATCGGGAATAGTCCAATACTTGGTAGAAGGAATGAAGCTACCCCACAAAAATTACCGCATGTAAATTGGTCAAGTGGTTGCTGAGATATAAGCCTCGCAAAAGCGTGACCACGGCCGGCCGGCCGGCCGCTCATACTCAGAAATTTCCGTTATTCTACGTAAGACTCCGCTCGCTTCGCTCGCTCCGTAACTACTTAAAGGTAGTGTGCCACCTTTGAAAGATTTCCCATTTTATTTTTCCTAAGATAAGAAGCTTCTGTTTTTA